TCTTCTCTCCCCTTCCATGGTCTGTTATGACTGGCCCAGTTCACACCGTGGTTGTGACGCTCTCATTGTAATGTAGACGTGTGTATAACAGAAGGACTCTAGTGCAGTTATTAGTGTGCAGGTTAAGAGAAGCCTACTTATAAAAATGTGTTTCTAGAATATAGAGGTAAGTGATTTAATGGCATGACTTGAACATTATTTATATGCAATTTGTGTACAACAATAGAAAGTATTTTGAAATCCAACATTTGCACCTACTCAGTGGTTTTAATATTCCACTTATATCGTTTTTTATTTAAAGATTCTTTTTAAAGACAATCTCGATCATACGTGATAGGCTAAGAGACTGAGTTAGCAGACGATGTTTTCTGAGATAGTAACTGCACGATGATCAGAGATTGGGTTAGCAGACGATGTTTTCTGAGATAGTAACTGCACGATGATCAGAGACTGAGTTAGCAGACGATGTTTTCTGAGATAGTAACTGCACGATGATCAGAGATTGGGTTAGCAGACGATGTTTTCTGAGATAGTAACTGCACGATGATCAGAGATTGGGTTAGCAGACGATGTTTTCTGAGATAGTAACTGCACGATGATCAGAGACTGGGTTAGCAGACGATGTTTTCTGAGATAGTAACTGCACGATGATCAGAGATTGGGTTAGCAGACGATGTTTTCTGAGATAGTAACTGCACGATGATCAGAGATTGGGTTAGCAGACGATGTTTTCTGAGATAGTAACTGCACGATGATCAGAGATTGGGTTAGCAGACGATGTTTTCTGAGATAGTAACTGCACGATGATCAGAGACTGGGTTAGCAGACGATGTTTTCTGAGATAGTAACTGCACGATGATCAGAGACTGGGTTAGCAGACGATGTTTTCTGAGATGGTAACTGCACGATGATCAGAGACTGGGTTAGCAGACGATGTTTTCTGAGATGGTAACTGCACGATGATCAGAGATTGGGTTAGCAGACGATGTTTTCTGAGATAGTAACTGCACGATGATCAGAGATTGGGTTAGCAGACGATGTTTTCTGAGATAGTAACTGCACGATGATCAGAGATTGGGTTAGCAGACGATGTTTTCTGAGATAGTAACTGCACGATGATCAGAGATTGGGTTAGCAGACGATGTTTTCTGAGATAGTAACTGCACGATGATCAGAGATTGGGTTAGCAGACGATGTTTTCTGAGATAGTAACTGCACGATGATCAGAGATTGGGTTAGCAGACGATGTTTTCTGAGATGGTAACTGCACGATGATCAGAGATTGGGTTAGCAGACGATGTTTTCTGAGATAGTAACTGCACGATGATCAGAGATTGGGTTAGCAGACGATGTTTTCTGAGATGGTAACTGCACGATGATCAGAGATTGGGTTAGCAGACGATGTTTTCTGAGATGGCCACTGCACCATGATCCGAGACTGGGTTAGCAGGCGATGTTTTCTGAGATGGCCACTGCACGATGATCAGAGATTGGGCCACTGCACCTTAAGACATTGAAAAGATGTTATAATATTTTCGCAACGCTGGGTTCCTTTACTTGCACGCACGCGCAGAAGACAAATGAACACCATGAAAACTTTTATATTTTGTCTTACATCTTTCTGATGATACTTCAGATTTTTACATCCTACACCTAACCTCCCACAGGACCGGGGTAGTGGGGTTGCGGCGGGCAGTATTCGAACCCGGAACCATCAAGACCATCGAACGCCATTCAAGAGTGCATAGGCCTAAAACACGACCAGTATTGGTAGAAACTTAGTTACTTAGTGTTTAGGTTTAGCTGAGTTCTCTGTCAGACCAGATCAGGTTTTTGAATCCACCAATAAAACGCACCAAGTGAAGTCCGGTACTGTCATTTAATGAAAAAACTGCAGATTTGACGTTCTGAAATGATAACTGAATGTTTCAGCTTACGTATAAAAAGTGTTGTTACAGACCTAGCCAGTGGCGTCACTTGGGTGTGTGGGGTGGTGACTGCACCGGGTGAGATCCAAGTTATTATTTTTTTTTGTCTTTTATCAAAGCAAACATCTTTTTGTAAAGAATTGACTGTAGCTATGTTATCTTTGTACATGAACTTCTAAACAAATATCCTGACCGTCACATCATGTTAAACCGTACTTTCATCTGTGTTCAATAGGCAAGTATTTCAAATCTGCTTTATAACAAATAATTGTTATCTTCAAAGTGATTGTAATGTAGACCGTCATCACTTCGTGTGTTAGTGTTGATGAGATATTTGATGAGATATTTGATGAGATATTTGATGAGATATTTGATGAGATATTTGATGAGATATTTATCAAGTTCTGAAACGTTTAAAAACATAAGCAGCCAGACTTCGCTACAAGAAATAACCGACTATAATGGATTTAAAGAAAAAAAAAGAACGGTGTGACAGTGACATCTAGTATTCCAGGCACTGTTTCTAACCGAAATTTTACATATCGAAACCACATTGAAGATGAACATTCATAAAACAAAAGAAATTTCCTTAAAAGGATTATGATGTTTTCATAATATAACCCTGTCTTTTAAGAAAAAAAGGGAAAGAAAAACTGATGAGATCAGTTCTGAGATCTTAAAAGTTGATGAGATCAGTTCTGAGATCGTAAAAGTTGATGAGATCAGTTCTGAGATCTTAAAAGTTGATGAGATCAGTTCTGAGATCTTAAAAGTTGATGAGATCAGTTCTGAGATCTTAAAAGTTGATGAGATCAGTTCTGAGATCTTAAAAGTTGATTAGATCAGTTCTGAGACTCTTAAAAGTTGATGAGATCAGTTCTGAGACTCTTAAAAGTTGATGAGATCAGTTCTGAGATCTTAAAAGTTGATGAGATCAGTTCTGAGATCTTAAAAGTTGATGAGATCAGTTCTGAGATCTTAAAAGTTGATGAGATCAGTTCTGAGATCTTAAAAGTTGATGAGATCAGTTCTGAGATCTTAAAAGTTGATGAGATCAGTTCTGAGATCTTAAAAGTTGATGAGATCAGTTCTGAGATCTTAAAAGTTGATGAGATCAGTTCTGAGATCTTAAAAGCTGATGAGATCAGTTCTCAGATCGTAAAAGGTTTGGACTATGATGGCTGCCTGGTCATGTGGTAAGCGCTCTTAAGACAGGGAGGCGATCTCAAGGTGGACAACGTAAACGTGATTGAACTAAATTTATGTCTCGCGTGTTCTCAGCTTGTGGGGTGAGCAGAAACAAAAATCTCGTGTGTTTGATTTGTACTTTAAAATAGATAAGTATTTAAATATTGATAAAGTAACATGAGATTGATAACAATGTTTTGAGAATTAAAATAATTAAATTATGAAATTAGCACCGACCCCGATGACGCCACTAGCGTTTGATTTAGGTAAACAGAAACGTTTCCCATGTATTGAGGCCGTAGCACCAAGGGGGGAATGAATGCGAACGAAGAAGAAGAAAAAAGAATGTATTCTAGACACACACAATCACGTTGTTGTTGTAACATCCTATAACAGAGAGCCATTCAATTATTACATATAACAGAGAGCCATTCAATTATTACATATAACAGAGAGCCATTCAATTATTACATATAACAGAGAGCCATTCAATTATTACATATAACAGAGAGCCATTCAATTATTACATATAACAGAGAGCCATTCAATTATTACATATAACAGAGAGCCATTCAATTATTGCATTGGATACAAAATAATTTTTAAAATGTTCAAGAATTTAAAAAAAAAATGTTATGTGCTGGAAAGAGCAAAAACATTTTTCTGTAGTTACTCTCTAGATAAAGAACATCTCTTAACAGATATCAACTCAAACTGTATACCACAGAACTATAGACTCTCATTTTGTCGACAAGTTATCGATACTTTTCAAATAAATTCCCAATTTTTTTCTTTGAACTATTTGTAAGTGCTCTACGAAATAATTCTGTACTTTTTTTTATATATTTCCAGTCAACGTGGCGGGTTGGAGAGAGTTCTGTGAAAACCCCTTACCTTGTTTTGGTCTGGTGGAAGTGGTCAACGATTTCGTCCCTTTCACTGGACGGGCGTCAGCGTCAGAGCGGTCAAACCCTGCTTCTCGTTCGCACGACTTGCTCAGGCCACGGCGACCTGAAGAGCATGCTGACCTAGACCTCCTGTGCGCTCCACTGAACGGTGAAAGCACACAAGCTTATGGCCTTGAAAAGACTGTGAGCGATTCTAAAAGTGGCAACATGTACCATAATTTATCACCAGATTCACCACCGTCGCCGCCAGCTATGTCTCCTGGTCATCAACCAGCCTCCCTCTTTAGCGTAACCCATCAAGAAGCGGCATCCATGGTGAAAGAGTGCCAGAAAGAAGACAAGTCCCGTCACTGCTTTCTACTCCATATTAAGTTGATGCCCTTGTATAGTCATGACAGCATTCCGGGCTCAGCCCTAAGAAAGCTACCGCGGCTGGTCAACAGGATTCCTCTCGGGGCGGGGTTCCTTTCCAGCGATCAGATCGAAGGCATCAACTGGCGGATGCTGGAAGGCAGCAATGCTGGCCCAACATTCATCTCGTATCCGCTTCTCGAGGAAGAGGCCGAGGATTACAAAACCTGCCTCAGGGACAGACTCATAAAACAGGCAGGAGCGGTATTCGGGGACCTCACGGTCAAGGCCAGCATAACCCTCTCACGCTGTGTCGACTACAGTTTTGATTTTATTCTCAACGACATAGCTGTAACCAATGGCGAGGGATTACACTTTCGAGACTAATCTTTCACTTTCTTAGAATAGAAACAATTTGAGTGAATGTAGCCAACGGATTTTCCCAAATTATTTTTAGATTGTAACGGCGTGCTCCTGTAACATCAGATGTAAACGGATTGTATTTATGACCTTGACTTTTAACCTTGTGATGCATTGGTTTGGTATTGAAGCATAATTTATTTAACTTTTGTTTGATATAAAACTACATTGAGTTCGCGTTGTTTTTTTTTTATTTTGCATGTCCCCCCCCCCCCCCCCCCCCATGTCTGTTCTAGTAAAATCTGGTGATTTCAATGCAGTTCTCATAGAGTTTGTCACATGGTTAGAGGGTTTACTAAGTTAGATAGGAAACAAACAAGGTATCTTCTCTCATTGAGTTTAAGTATCCCCCCTCACACATTTCTCTCTTCTCTCTCCCCCTCTCTCTGCCTGTTTATGGTTCACATTATTGGTTGCTAATTCAGTGTTTCTCTAAAAGGGGTCCGAGTACCCCAGGGATGGGTTTAGAGTTACTTATTGGAAAAATAGGTAGCCTGTGTATGAGTATGTGAGAGACTCTTTGATTGTTGCTGACAATACATTTCAATAGGAAACACAGTCAAGGTTTTGTTCCATTTTAATTTTGACAAAAAGAAGGGGGGGGGGGGTAATTTTAAACAAATGTCTGCGAAAGAATTGGAACGAAAGAAAAAGGTTAAAACACTTAAAAGTTAATTCTCTCCTATGCTCCCAGAGTTCACTGTTTTTGTCAGTGCAGAATTATTTTTTTTTGGGAGAAGGAGGGAGGGTGAGGTATGTTTGGAACTTGATGTCACTGTGACATTCTAAGTCATCAGGTTGGTTTACATTATTTAGCAGATTTCTTCCTCCCCCCCCCCCCCCCCCCCCAAATCCATATTCTTTACTAATTTCAATGAACAAACTTTCCACCACTGTCATTCAAGTCTAGCACATACAGACACAAGACTTGACAAAACACGTGTACTCTGACAGATTTACTTTCCAATGAAAACCGAAATCTAACACCAAATCTTGTTAAGTTTTAAAATGTTTTGTTTTTTTTATAAAAAGTAAAAAAACATATAAATGACAAGTCTGACTTTTCAAAAACTTAATTTTTTTCTTTATAGCTGTGACGTGTGTCACGCAGGTTTGTTTAGTTACTTTTTTAGTACAAAAAAAAACGTTTTTATCCCCAACGGTCAACAGTAAACGAGTTTGGTTACAAATGTCTAGCATAACAACCAACCGTCTTTATTTTTCCATCACAAGCCATAGAGACACTTCAGATAGGTCAGGGGAGGGAGGATATCTCTGCTGTTGTTAGGAGAAACTTGTGTGTGTAGGTGTGTTGCCATTAGTTACGAGGGACTCTATTCTTAATACAACTAACAATCTTCAAATTAGTTTTGTACCACAATGTACAAAAAAAAAAGCCCGACATCCTCCGGACACTATCTTATAATTTACAGACGTTCCATCAAAATAGAAGATAATGTCGTCCTGCGCTTATTTATTTGCTAATCATTTAATGATTATTAAAGAAAAGTTGATTTCAGAGAAAAAAACAAATTCATTAAGACCTCGAAGTAGGCGGTTTTATTTATATCTTTGTAGGTTGTCTTGGTTGTAGGTTGTCTTGGTTGTAGGTTGTCTGGTTGTAGGTTGTCTTGGTTGAAAAGAAAATTTATAACACAAAAAAAAAACAACTTATATCAAATAGTTTATTTAAGACAATACCTCTTGTATACAACGTACAGAGCGACTATAGATCACATACTAACTAACGAATGTTTGATTAATAAACAATGGAACATTTTTACCCCCCCCCCTCCCCCCGATACAAAATTCTGGTTAAGCGAATGTATAGATCTACTAGATTTTTTAATATTTCAATGATAGGCCTTTAGATCTAGACCATAGACATGTATAAATAATCTAGAACATAGGCATGTATAAATAATTTAGACCATAGACATGTATAAATAATCTAGACTTGGAGAAGCGCTAAGTTTTACTGAACAGGCCAATGACCTAGTATTTCTTTTTCCAACGATATACAATATCTAGAGCCGTTTTCGTGTCCACTCACCCAGGTTTAAGGTTCTTGTTTCTGTTAATAGTTGAAATGTAAGTTATAGCCCTTAGTTATTGTGAGTTATGTGTTTTGTGTTGTAAACTTCCTGTGTGCCCAAGATGGCGTCTTTTGGTGTTGAATAAAAGTGTTAGGCCCAACTCCAAGAAGTGTTGCCTCAATTATATTTGACTAACTTAACATGGTGGCAGCGGAAAAGTGAACCACGTAAGCGCTAATACATCAAGTGAACCACGTAAGTGATCATACGTCAAGGGAGACCTTACAGATAAATAGAGAGAACTAAATCGGACATTCTACCCCCAAGGTCACGTACGCTTTGGCCCATCAAGGGAGGCAACCAAAAGATCTACAAAGCGGACAGTAGAGACAGGGTTATACAACATGGCGGAAAATATACTGACGCCTCCCCATTGCCTGGAGCTAACGGAAGGGAATGTTAGTGAAAACTTCAGACGGTGGAGGCGGCAGATGGAAATTTATCCGCAAGCGACGGGGGCCTACGGTAGGCCCAAAACCCAACAGAAGGCCATCATACTACATTGTGCCGGCCCCCAGGCCATCGAAGTCAGTGACCAATTCACATACCAGGAAGGGGAGGACGAGGGCGACCCTGAGGAATTATTGAAAAAGCTACACGACTACTGCAACCCAAGAGACAACGAAGTAGTTAGAAACGTTTCGCTTTTGGAAATTACCCATCTGCTCCCCATTTGAAACCTACCTAACGAAGCTAGTAATTTTAAGGAGCCAGACAGGATGATCCGGGACAAAATAGTGTTCTCCTCTAACAGAAAAGTGCAGGAAAAACTCCTGGCATGCCCAGAGCTGTCCCTGAAAAGAACAATCGAGATTTGCAGAGCCTTCGAACAGTCAATGACTAGTGTGGAGGAAATACGAGCTGAAGCTCAGGCCCAAGTTGACAAAATGGAAAGAACAACACAAAAAGCTACAGCTACACCCTTAGAGTGTCGATTTTGTGGACGACACCACGCGTTCAATAAAACAGCATGCCCTGCGTGGGGACAGACATGCAAGCGATGCGGGGAAAGAAACCACTTCGCAAGAAAGTGCAACAGAGTAAAGGTAAGCACACTGGTACACAAGACGTCAGGGTACGAGCCAGAGTGGCTAAATACAATAAATGCACTCAGGTCGACAAGAGACAGGCTTACGGCAGAATTCGTAGTGAATGGTCAAAGAGTGAAATTCCAGTTAGACACAGGAGCCGACGTCAACATCATTTGTAAAAGGTTTGTCAAGAGATGTCAAGCAGTGGAGACCACACAAACTCTAAGAATGTGGAACATGACTGAACAGAAGCCAGAAGGAGTTGCTGATTTACCAATGACAAACCCAAAAACAGGGAAAACAACTGTAGCGAAGTTCGTCGTCGTTGGAAATAACTTTCAATGCCTCCTAGGCTTGAAAACGTGTCAAGAACTGGACCTCATTACACTCAACGACAACAATTTCGTCTCTCGAATACAGTCAACCAACGATAACCTAGGTGACCTAGGAGAAGCGAAACTAACCATAGATGCAAACAAATCTCCAGTGGTGTCTGCATGCCGCAATATTCCTTTCGCATACAGAGACAAAGTCAAGAAGGAGCTGGATGTACTCGTGAAGAGAAAAATACTGGTCCCAGTAGAGGAGCCAACGGATTGGGTCAGTCAAATGGCCATTGTTCAGAAAAAAAAACGGAGATTTGCGAATCTGTATAGACCCACAACACTTGAATAGAGTCTTGAAAAGGGAGCATTACAGACTCCCCACTTTTGAAGATACTCTACCCCAGTTCGAGAACGCCAAAATCTTCTCGAAACTTGACGTGAAAGAAGCTTATTGGCATGTTCGCCTTGACAAAGAATCAAGTATTCTGACAACAATGATAACACCTTACGGCCGGTATAGATGGACAATGCTGCCCTTCGGACTGTGCGTCAGCGGAGAAATATTCCAAAGAAAACTGTCACAAGCACTGGAAGGCCTCAGCGGCTGCATCAATGTTGCCGACGACATCATTGTAGTCGGGTGAGGCAGAACAATGGAAGAGGCATTGGGGGACCATAAGACAAAACTGGAAAATCTGCGAGAAAGATGCAAAAGAAAATCCATAATACTGAACGAGAGCAAAACATTGGAACAAACAGAGGCGGTCGAATTCATGGGACACGTCATCAGCGCACAAGGTATTGAACCAGACCCCAAGAAAGTGCAGGCCATAGTGGACATGGATCGCCCTACAAACGCACAGCAAGTCCGACGATTCGGTGGCATGGTGCAGTACCTGTCCAAGTTCCTCAGCAACCTGTCAGCCACATCACACCCCCTGCGGGAACTCACCAAGTAAGAAACGGAGTTTGAGTGGAATGAACAATGCGAAGCCGTCTTTAGGAAATTAAAAGCGATGATAACAACAACCCCGGTGCTGGGTTTCTACAACGCAGCCAAATCCCTGGAAATCCAGGTCGACAGCAGCCAAGATGGGCTTGGTGCCGTGTTGATGCAGGAAGGGAAACCATTGGAGTATGCCTCACGAGTCTTAACACCAACGGAAAAGAGATGGGCTCAAATAGAGAAAGAACTACTGGCCGTGGTTTTCGGACTTGAGAGGTTCAATCAATACACTTTTGGCAGACCCGTCACAATCGTAAATGACCACAAACCCCTTGCTACCATCCTACAAAAACCCCTAAACCAAGCCCCAAGACGGTTACAGAACCTCATTATGAGAAGCAATAGATATGATTTCACATTCAAGTGGGTTCGCGGAAACGTACTGCACATAGCCGACACGTTGTCCCGTGCATGCGACACTAAGCCATTGACTGAAGAAATGTTGAACCTCAACATCCAACAAATCATCGATATTCCCGATCCACTGTAGACCGAATTTGAAGCGAAACAGATGCTGATGAAACTCTACAAGCTCTCCGAATGACCATTGAAAAAGGTTGGCCTGTCAAGAAAACTGCCGCTCCCGCGGCTCTGAGGCCCTATTATGACTTTGCCGAAACCCTGAGTATAAGTAATGGAATCATCGTCAAGGGGGAAAGAGTACTAATTCCCAAAAGCATGCGCTCAGAGATGAAGGAGAAGTTACACGCCTCCCACCTAGCATACGACAGCATGATGAGGCGGGCGAGGGCTCTGATTTTCTGGCCAGGAATGGCTGAAGAAATCAAATATATGTCCGACTCGTGCACCGCCTGCCAAGAGAACAAGCCAAGCAATCAAAGAGAAACGCTGTGGCCACATTATGAAGGAAAAGGACCCTGGGAAAAGGTGGTAACAGACTTAATGGAGATCCAAGGGAGAACATACTTGATCACAGTTGACTATTTCTCAAATTGGATCGAAGCTGACTTATTATCAACCTCAACCGAGGTGATTAGAAAACTGAAAGCTCACTTTGCCAGATTCGGAGTCCCTAAAGTCCTAATCTCTGACTGTCTCACGAATTCGCCGTATTCACTAACAGATGGAACATATCGCACATCAGGTCCGATCCCGGACACCCCAAAGCCAACGGAAAAGCAGAGGCCGCAGTAAAAACAATCAAAAACATGATGAGAAAGACCATCGGAACCGAAGATGATCAATACGAAGCCCTGCTGGAACTGTGGCTATAGCCCAGCCCAGTTGTGTTTGAACAGAATACCACGGTCACTACTACCCCTGACTAAAACCCTTGAGCCCGAAAGCTACACAGAAGACCTGGGGGCCTGGGGGCGAAAGCCCGTCACAGGTACACCATAAAAAAACACTATGATAAAAGAGCAAGAGACCTGCCCCGGCTGAATGTGGACCAAAACGTTTACTTCCAGAGTCAAGGAAACAATGATTGGCGGCCTGGCATAATTATTATGAGAAACAGCGAGCGGTCCTATACCGTGAAGGGAACAACGGGCGGTACATACGTTAGGAACAGAGTGCACATCCGGCCCAGGAATGTCCCTTACTCAGACATCTTTTCAGATGATGAAACGGCAACCCATGAAGCGCCACTAGATGCCTCATCCACAGACGTAACACCACACCCTGCTTTAGAGCCCAGCGCCGGCCCAGACGGGATCCCACCCTTAGCTCACGGAGCAGAGCCTAGCGTGAGAAGGAGTGGCCGAACGAGAGCCACCCCTACGTGGCACAAGGACTATGACATGGGCAAGTGGTGACCTCCCCTGAAGTGTGGTTTTGTTCGTTTTTGTGTGTGTTTTTTTATTTTCTCTCTTCGTCTGGCTAGATGTGCATAGCCTTCAGTATTGGTGTACAGGATGTTACTATACCATGTGTTCGGGTTGGAATGTTTTAGTGAATATGTTTGGTCGAGAGAAAGGGAAGGATGTTAATAGTTGATATGTAAGTTATAGCCCTTAGTTATTGTGAGTTATGTGTTTTGTGTTGTAAACTTCCGGTGTGCCCAAGATGGCGTCTTTTGGTGTTGAATAAAAGTGTTAGGCCCAACTTCACGAAGTGTGGCCTCAATTATATTGGACTAAGTTAACAGTTTCCACGAAGTTACGAATAGAATTAT